CAGAGGATCCCCAAATCCAGGTGTGAAAAACTTGTTGCATCTTTCCCAAAAAGACTCATGGCTGTATTAGATCAAAAGGGTGCTTCTACTAAATACTGAGCAAAGGGTCTGAATATTTAGGACCATGTGATATTTCAGTTTTTCTTTTTTAATAAATCTGCAAAAATGTCAACGATTCTGTGTTTTTCTGTCAATATGGGGTGCTGTGTGTACATTAATGAGGAAAAAAAATTAACTTAAATGATTTTAGCAAATGGCTGCAATATAACAGAGTGAAAAATTTAAGGGGGTCTGAATACTTTCCGTACCTACTGTATATATGTATATATGTATATATGTATATGTACAGTATATGTATATGTATATGGGACAAAGACGTTAAGATGTCCGGATCAAAATAAATTGACAAAAGTGATTTTATGTCCATAGAAAGCACATTAAATGTAAGTAAAGTGTCTACTTTTAAGGTTTCAAATATGTTTTTGGAGAATAAAATTAAATTTTATTGTGTTTTAAATGAGTAAAAAATTCTTACTGACACATGGGCAAAACCTAGGATAGTGGCAAATTTAAAATTAAAATTACAACTAATGCAAATGTAAAATTACAACGAATCAGTATTTGGGGTGACAGTAATTACTCTTTTAATATGTCATAAATTTATTTTTGTTGTAAATATGCCTGACAAGATTGTTACACTGAATGACATTTTAGTGGGTCTCTTCTGTAAATCAGGGAAAAATGTATAGTTTATTTTTTGCTCAGAAAAACAAAAACAAAATTGCAATTAAATTAAACAGAAAACTTTTTCTTTTTTTTGGGGGGGACAACAATTTAAAGCAGTGTTACACTTATTGTTTTTATGCTTAATCCCTTTTTCTATGGAGGACCAAACCTGCAGAAATAGTAAATAAATAAATAACAGGAAAATAAAGAAATAAATTACTTGATAAAAACAAATATAGTTCATTTGTATTTTGTGTATATGTACAGTATATATGTGTGTGTGTATGTATGTATGAATACTGATATATATAAATAGCTTCTATATAGATTTATTTTATTTATAATTAATTTTTTTCTATGTAATTTAAATTGTATTTTTATTCTAGTTTTGGGTTTAGTACTTCAAAATAAACTTGTTTCAGTTTGCTGCCTAGGCAACATTTCACATTTTTGAAGCTTTTGATTTTTTATCTAATATTCATATTTTATTTCAGATCTATTTCAATTACTGAAAACAAAATTTTGAATAGTTATAGTTTTAGTTAACACTGGTGCATAAGTCAATCACTTTGGTGATGCTTTTGCATCCCTTTTGATGCATGAAAACTTTAGTCTTCATTCATTGCAATTGCATGGAATAGTGACTAGAAAATAATTAAACATTCTTTTGAAAGTCATGAGGGTGAGTAAATAATGACAGATTTTGAACTATTGCTTTAGGGTATGACTTGATACTGTGTCTTATCCCAATGTAATTTTTGCAAAGGTATGAGAATTTGCCCCACTTTGAAATGGTGCAGACATATTAAATCACAAAGGAAAGAGGGAAATATCATTTCAATGTAAATGTATTCTAAATGTATGCTCTTACATTGTGAAACCCACTTTGTCACGCAGAGGCTTGGACGATGTTTGTGTGCGGCAAGAAACAAACTAAAAATATACCCTACTTTAACTCACCACATCTTTGGTGCGCATACAGACCAGCTTCTGCTACACACCCCTAGTCCGATCAAATATATGTTCAATACAAATATCTACATGTAAAGAGCACATTATTCAATAAATGGACACTGGACACAGAAAAAGCATCCTCGTCTGTGTGATGTATGAGTGCTAAATCAATACCTACATCAGTATCTGTTCTTCAGAGATAATGTATCTGCCCTGCTGTTTATGCAATGCACTACACATACACAGTAATAACAAAGTGTGATTCACAGCATGTACTATTTAAATCAGAGAGGCAGTGCGTAATATTGTGGCTCACTGAGGAACGACTTGTGCTGGTGAAGCTTACTAATGTTCATTAATCCTTAAATAATCAAAGAATAATTTCAGGTAGCATGACAAATGGAAGCATGTTTTCGTATTTTTATTGGATGAGATTCTGCATAATTCCAAAAAGCCGAATTTAATCTTTTTATCCCGAGTCCACAAAATTGAGGTCCTCACAGTATCATGCTCTCACAGTCCTCTGAGGATATCTTCAAAGTGCTCCTCTCCACTGACAAGAGTCTGGGGATCTTAAGGAAGGGGGAGCGGGGGATGAAAGGGGACTGGGGTTGGAGGGAGGGAACAAGGAGAAGAAAGTTGCAAGGGAGCACAGCTGCTGTACTGTGACAGACTGCAGTTCTGACGAGGCTATTATTAGCTCCAGACTTATGCCAAGAGTTTTTTATAAAACCAGCAGCCAAAACACTGAAGCACAAGGTGACTGGAAAACGCCAAGAAAGAAACGCTAGCGGGATGCTTGGTGGAGCTGACAGGAATAAACAGCATACAGGGCAAAAGCCTTGTCCAGTCGTGACATATTTACAGCATGTTACAAAATGTAAAAACATACAAATTCAAAACTGTTCATGGACATGAATTTTGATGCGGCAAACATCCACATAGCTCTGATGTCAGTGTATCGTTTTTTATTAAATGGGGCGAGTTCCTCTCTTTCATCATCCTCAACTATGTAACAACTTACATGGAACATCTGATCCGTCACGTCTACAGGCCACCCTCCTGCCCGAGTGTGACAATGAGAAATGCTCATAGGAAAAAAAAGGATATCAATTCAGACAACTCTCTTTGCGAACCTTAAAGGGTTAGTTCACCCAAAAATGAAAATTAGCCCACAAATTACTCACCCTCAAGTCATCCTAGGTGTATATGACTTTCTTCTTTCAGACAAATCCAGTCGGAGTTATATTAAAAATTGTCTTTGATCTTTCAAGCTGTTTAATGCCACTCAGCGGGTGTTGCATGCATCAGTCCAAAAGAAGTTAAATAAAAAGCACCCATCTAAAAAAAAAAAAAAGTGTCTCACACGGCTCCGGGGGGTGAACAAAGGCCTCCTGTAGTGAATCGATGTGTTTTTGTAAGAAAAATATCCATATTCAAAACGTAATAATCACTTTAATGTAGCTTGCGCCAACAGTTGTACACGGAAGCAGCTCTGGGCAGATGACGTATGAGGTCAGCTTTGCGCATATGCCGCTCAGAAGTGACGAACGCGGAAGCGCAGCGGAGAGATCAAAACAAAACAATGGTCACTAATTAGAAGTACAAAACGAGGATTTGTAAAGAAGAATGTTGGAGGATTTCGATATAAGCCAAGAGGAGACTGGTTTTCCTTTGCTAAAGTAAGGAAACTTTGCTTTCTTTGCTCCTGTTAACAAACGTTGGTTTTCACGAGACTCACCGGTGCATGCGTAATGCTGAACTCATACGTCATCCTCCCGGAGCTGCTTCCGTGTACAACTGTTGGCGCAAGCTAGATTAAAGTGATTATTACATTTTGAATATGGATATTTTTCTTACAAAACGCATCGATTTTTATACAGGAGCTACAGGAGGCCTTTGTTAACCCCCCGGAGTCGTGTGAGAAAAGGCACTTTTTATTTAACTTCTTTTGGACTTATGCATGCAACACCCGCTGAGTGGCATTAAACAGCTTGAAAGATCAAAGACAATTTTTAATATAACTCCAACTGGATTCGTCTGAAAGAAGAAAGTCATATACACCTAGGATGACTTGAGGGTGAGTCATTTGTGGGCTAATTTACATTTTTGGGTGAACTAACCCTTTAATCTAAAGTCTAATAAGTCAAAACCAAATTATATGTTAAACAGCTCTGGATATAGCATAGTCTAACCAAAAATAAAAATTCTGTCATCATTTATTCACGCTCATGTCATCCCAAGCCTAAATGACTTTCTTTATTCTGTAGAACACAAAAGAGATATTAAAAAAAAACTGTCTTAGTGTTATTTTGTCCATACAATCAAAGCCAGTGGGCTCTTGTGTTGTTTTGGACTCCACTGACTCAAAAACAGTTGAAACATTCTTCCAAATAGACTTAGTAGGACAGAGTGGAACTGATGAAGTAAACATCTTGACAAAGAGTTAACATTTACATATTAATTAATTAGACAGTAAAGAGTAATGAAAAACAACAAAAATACTTTGCTACTTTGCTATGGCATTAACTGTTGTCAAGGAGGTTTTTATTAATTTGTGTACTGTACTTTTTGATGTACAGTATGTATATGTGTAAACAATATATGTACAAACAATCAACAAGCCACCAACATGTCTAATTTTAGTTAGAGCAACTTCAATCTTTGATGAAAGTGCTGTGATTTTTGTAACTGATCTCGAAGGCTTTCGGAAAAGTGCATTTTTAGCAGGTAAACCAGTCCTTGACCAACATATGGCTCATCTGAACTGGCAGTCAAATATTCAGTAAACTCTAAAATGACAAAACTGTGAATTTCTGAGTTGTCGGTTAAACCTAGGATTCCAGATCTTGATCTGCATGTGGCTCCTTGTTTGATCTTTGGCATGTTGTTGTACTTGGTATTGCGACCTGGGAGTTTGGTTTAGTCCAAGTGTTTCCTCGAAGCTTGACTGTGCCAAAAAGCCCACGTTGGGAATCGTTTCCTCTCTGGTTGTGAGAGTGTCCCTCGTTACTGCTTGTTCTTTTGTAGAAAACTGGTGTTGGGATCTTTGAAGGCTTTTGGTCAGACCTGTGATCACGTCTCGGTCGCACACAGGATTTTAGTTTTAGCTTGAAGATTGATGGCACTCTTTCTGGCTTCCTTAAGGATCTCCTTTGTCTGAATAAAGAACTCCTCTGTTTTTTAACATGTTCAGTATCTAAACTTGACACTTTTCCATGAGGAATTTTGGTCTCAGCATTGGAGTTGTCAAATGGCACCTTCACAAGTTCAGCAGTCTCCTTTGAATCTATACTGGATCCCAATGAGGACCAAGAACTGGTCATACAAGGTTTAGAGACCTTAAGGTGATGTGTGGTAACGTGGTCTTCTTCCACCTTCCCTCTGAGACCGTGAAGAGTGTTCACCCACTTCTCGACTGACACCTTCTCCAACTTCCTTTGGCCACCAGAGAGTTCAGCAATGACTGCATCAAAAGCCCTGTTTCCACTGTTGGGTGTCGCTCGATCAAGACTTGCTGATCTGTTAGATCTTTTACACTGGTCAAATGGAATCTCTCTGGAATTGTTGGGATTCTCATGGTTCTTCTCATCAGAGCTAGTGCTAGTTTCTGAGTCAACGCTTAGCTGCTGTAGATTAGACAAGATTTCCTCTTCTAGGCTCTTATAGACTATGGCTTCCTGAGCAGGGCTGAGAGGAGGAGGAGTGAAGAGGTAACTTCTCTCAATGCCTCCCTCTTCACCTCCTAAATCTCTTTGAGACTTCTGAGAATCAAGGAAGCGTTCGGAAGATTTACTTGAGCTGTTAATGTGAGGAGACTGCACAATGTTCAGCACCGGTAGGGCCAAGTGCTGTACCTTCCTGCTGACTGATCTATCTGCTCTTTGTTCAGTTTGGCCTTTCTCATTTATATCCAGAATATGTTTAATTTCATTTGGGGACTCTTCTTGAGAGATCTTAGCTGGTGTTCTAGGTCTGGTGTGTCGTGCTTCTGAAAGGGCCCCCACTAGCCCTTTAAAAGGAGAAAAGGTATGGCTGAAATGTGAACTCTTTTTGGGACCCCCAGTGTCCTCTGGATCGTGAATGGTGATGTTCGGAGGTTTGTAACATGTTTGTGTATTTCTCAGAGGACTCTGAAAGGTCCTTCCTGTACTTTTTTGTGGGTCTGAGACAAGGTGCGCTTTGTCCTGGTTCTCTCGTCCTTTTAATCCAAGTGTGGAATTTTGTCTCAGTTTGGAAACAAACTGTGATTTGGTCCATGTTTGTCCCAGATTCTTCTCAGGCACTTGCTGAGGTTGGATTTGATTGGCATTCCTCTGAAGGACTAGAGGAGTTTGAGGACGCTGTATCTCAGGCTGTGGTGTGGTAGGATGATAGGTGGCCCGTGGAAGACTGCTCGTGAGGCGAGGTGCTGGTGACGCCCTTATTGCTTCTCTGCCTTTCCTGCTGGAGGAGTTTGTTTTCAAGCTGTCTTTACTGTCAGCACAAGTGTACACACAAGATTGAGTACTTGGTCTCTCTCTTAATCTGGAAAAACACACACACAGAACCTTGTCAGTGTCAGTGAGTCTGTGCTTCCTCAATAGCTGCTAATAGTATCATGTATTTACAGACACAAATATTAATTATTAAGCATATGGGATTGGCCATTTTATATAATCAGAAGGGATTAGATGAAATCGACATTTCATGGACATACATTAAAACAACCTATTTTTTGGCCCCATGTAGACCTGGCATCAGCATGAGTTTTCTGCATTTTGAGGTGGCTTGGGACTGATTTTGACCACATTTAATGTAAATGGATTTTTGTTATTGCCATTCAGTTATTGTTATTGGCATTAGCTTTATATTCTACTTTCACAATTTAAGTCATTATATGACAACAATATTCAATTGTTTTCCAATTTTACCAATTGAAATCTCTTGTATTGCTCATTTCTCATCCCAAAGATCCCACTTTTCTACCATTTTCTTTACTTATAATTCTTATTATACTTTACTGACTGGATTTATAAAGAAAGCAAATGCAAGAAATTACAGAAAGTATTTCAAGTTATCTAGCAGTGTTTTAAAATTTGGTAAATGACAGCAATTAATGCTGTCTCATATAATATGTGAGTATAATATATATATATATATATAACATTTCAGATAATGATTTTAATGACAGTCATTTATGATCATGGTTGCAAGCTGATGATTAAAATAGCAGTCTAAAATCCTCATGTTAAGAGTTACTATATATTACTGCACAAATCAATGCACAGCATTAACATGGTTCATTTCTCGAATGAAGCATGAATGTTCATTTCTTCCTTTTGTTATTCTACTAATTTTAATACAACAATTTAATAGCCAACATTAAATGTGGTGGTCATTAAATGTGTGTATGATAGAGACCATGGTAATAATAATAATATTAAATAATAGCCCCTGTAATTACATGCTTGAAAAGGTCTTTGCTGAAAAGTGTGACATTGCTAATGAGATGTCATGATGAAGTGGATCAAGTTTGTTTCCTAGTGACTGTTTAATTGCTGAAGAGGCATGCTCAGTTTTAAGTTAAATAAAAAAAAATCTCAGTCCCTGTCTCTGTCTTTGTCTTGCACACAACTCCGTCTTGCTATGTTAATTCCTTAGACTCGGGGTGTTGTTGTTGTTGGGGTTTTTAAACCTCAGATGGCAAGTAATGTGTCTGTGAGAATCCAAGGGATTCAAGTGGATTTCTATAATCCTGTTAGCCAGATCTATGCCCGGGGAAGATTCTTTATTCACCCAATCACATTTCAAAAAGTTCTGACTATATATACACACGAAAATGTTCATTTAAAGCTGCAATCTATCTGAAGTAGCAACAGAAATATAATTTCAGTTTTCTTCCGTATTGTGTTGTACACACGAGATGAAATGGATTATTGGGGGGGGGGAGACTTGGTTTTATGCATCAGTTTTTGATTGGATGGAGACAGATCTGAATGTGAGTTTATAGGATTTAATTATGTCAAAAGAGAGAATCTGTTTCACCGGAAGATCCAGTTATGATATTTTGATTAAAAATTACAAGGTCAAAATTTGCATATGCATGAACGAATCATTCACAATATCATCAATAAGATGATATTTGTGAATTTTCATTTCATACCGAATTGACATTGTCAAAGTGAAATCAAAATAGACCATATTCGTTGTCATAACACCAAAAGTTAAACAGCTATTTTGGTAATGCTTATCAAACCGGAATTCAAGTATGAATGTGCTGTGGTCTGAAACGCCAACATTTCATGACCCAATCAATAAAACAGTCTCCAATGTTTCATATCAATGGTAGCTGACATCCTTTGACCTTACTCCAATAGGGAACTTACTTGTTAGGAGAGGGGCTGTTTCTCCGGCGGCTGGGCTGATGTTCAGGGTCAGGGGAACAGGAGGAGCGTGGGGGAGAGGGCCTTCCTCTCTGGGCTCTGTAGGCGGCTGAAGGGGTCCAGACAACTGGCTGAAGAGGGGACTGAGTTCGGCTCAGCATAAGAGTGGTCTGAGAAGCACTCTGGCCATCAGGTTGTGTTGCGGTTAACCGCTCTTTGATCTCATGGACCAGAGTACCGGGGTGTGTGGTCAACTTATGTACTGATATGTATATGTGAAAGAGAAAACAGGAAGGAAATACTGATTCAATTCCTTAAAGAAGCACTTTTAATATGCTCCAAGTGTGGAGATGTAATGAAATATTAATGAAGATTATAGAAACACTATGCCACTAGGCATGATCCCACTACAATGTCTCATAATGTACCTCATAAAGGCAAACCAATCTTAAAAGGATAGTTCACCCAAAACTGTTTGGGTTGAGATACATGATAAACAACCACAAACCTTTCACTGTTTATATCATTTCTGATACTAATTTTTGTAGGTAGTTGTAGGTGTGTGTTTGTGTGCATAACCACGTACTGAGAGAAGTGCAGCGGCAGGGATCATGTTTGTCGAGATAGTGCTCCAGGGTGTCCCATCCTCCGCCCACTCGCACCATAACATGATTCCTCAAAATCTACACACGCACACACACATCTTTATGAGCAAATGTCATCTGCAGAGTCAACAACGCTTCTGAGACCATGATGGATCAACACATATTTCTGCTTGTCTGTGCTGGAACAAGAGTAGCGCTTTGAAAAATGATAAATTGACAGTAAGAGATTTTATATACAGTACCCGCACAAATATGAGAGTGTTGGAGTCTCCAACCCTGTATTTGCCCTCTGATACCTTCACCATGGGGAACTGGGATGGGCAGGTGCATCGGCTTATCAAAAGCTGGACCTGCACACACACAAACTCAGAAACGTTACTGGCATGACCCACACACCTCTGACAGATATTCTAAGCAGATGGAACCTGCCACTTTGAAAGCCTCCATAAATCAGTGAGGAGAGCCACAAATCAAAATAGCAGTCTAATTCAAAGTTCCTCTCCTTTTTCCTATCCCTGCAAATCATTTTAAATGGTAAAAAGAGGCATGAATCTTATAGGTATAGATGGATGTTAGGTTTTGATCCTTTGGGTGTCCTTGTTTCTGAGACATTCTCTTGCATGCCATATCTGTTTAATAACAGTGGGGTTTGTGTTATGGGGGGTGTAATGGTTCAGTCGCTGGAAGGAGCAAGCGATGAGCTGCGTCACTGTGCCCTTGAGCAAAACACTTAACTATGAGTCTGTAATAAGTGTACTTACACGCAAGTTGCTTTGGATTAAAGTATCTGTTAAATGACTAATAACTAATAACAAACAGCGACTGTGATAGAGAAACTGTTCATTAGACTTCAAGAGAGAAAAAATATATATTTTGAATGCCAGAAATGTATTTTTCTTTACAATTCTTTTTACAATTAAGCATATTTCCCCTCTTAAATTCTCTTTAGGGTAATTCAAAACTCTTATTCTCAGTACTGTACATACAGTCATGAAAATTATTTTGCCTGGACACAATTAAAAAAAAAAAAAAAAAATGTTATTTAAAATTACCATGATAGATGAATAGTTTATAATTTAAATATTTGTATGTTACATTAAAAATATATATTGTATAATTTATATTACTGAAAATAGGAGTGGGGATGTTCTCAATTGTTGTCAGACATGTTACAATGCAAAATTGCTGTTCCAACCAAGCAAAATTGATTTAGACTTCAAGAGACTTCAAGACTTCAAGAGAGAAAAAATATATATTTTGAATGCCAGAAATGTATTTTTCTTTACAATTCTTTTTACAATTAAGCATATTTCCCCTCTTAAATTCTCTTTAGGGTAATTCAAAACTCTTATTCTCAGTACTGTACATACAGTCATGAAAATTATTTTGCCTGGACACAATTAAAAAAAAAAAAAAAAATGTTATTTAAAATTACCATGATAGATGAATAGTTTATAATTTAAATATTTGTATGTTACATTAAAAATATATATTGTATAATTTATATTACTGAAAATAGGAGTGGGGATGTTCTCAATTGTTGTCAGACATGTTACAATGCAAAATCTTTATGATACTAAAGTAGGTTTTATTTTCGTTATAGAGTTTTTGTTCTTTTAAATTTGCGGTGGGATGTGAAATATGTTCTTGACAGGTTTTGTGAGATTCACCTAAAGGCATCATTTCATCCAAATGCATAAAATGCTTAGACTACTCTTATAAGCAGGTCACCCATTTTTTTCTTTAAGACTGGTCATAACTTTTTAAAAATCATTTACATAAAAACATATACTAATTTGAATCCGAAAAGTTTACTGAAGTTGACCGATTACTTCTTGGCTAACTGCTAGTCGGTTAGACTGGTTCTTAACGCATAAGGTGCATCCCAAATCGTGTACTTATGCACTATTCTATGATGCTTTGTAGTATAAATAGTGTGAGTAGAGCGTTCACACTGAAAATTCCAAAATGAAAAAGTACACTTTAAATACCCAGATGTTGGACACTTCATGCACTCTACTGTCGCAGCTTTAATTACATACCGAAGGGGGAGGGGCTCCTATTATGAATGACAAAATAACCTTATAATTCATACTATACACGGTTGAGTACATAGTGCATAAGTACATGAGTGCATAGTGTATAGTGCGTCATTTGGGACACAGCTATAGTTCTAATATATTGGCTATGTTTGTGCAGCTGGCCCATCAACCAAAATTGAATCATAATCAAAAAAGATAATTTTGATAGAATCAAATTATTTTATGCAAAAATTGCTTAATTTAGATTCAATTCTTAATTAAAATGCAATGCCCTCAGCACATCAGTAAACATTAAGTGAATTTCATCTTTGATGCATCACCATCTCATCCAGATTCTGGATGTTTATTAGGCTCCTCTGTGGTTTGGGCTGAGCAGGCAAGTCCTCCATCTCTTCGCGAATCTCTTCCTCTATCTCCTGCTCCAGCTGAATGAGGACTGGTGAAGCCATGCCGAAACGAGAGGCCCGTCTGGCCACCTCAAGAAGGCACAGCACAAAATTCTTCTCGTTCTTACGCAGGACAAGGTCATCTGTCTCAAACATCAATACATCTGCAAGGGGGAGAGTTTAGGATGGTAACAGAAAACAGAGTCTATAAGAACAGGTGCAGGACACTATAGTTCATCTATGTAAGTGAGGGTAGCAAAATAAAGTAAACTATGAAATATTATACTCAAAAATTCTTCATACAGTGGAGTACCAGTAAGATTGATAAAAATTTGGGACCAAAAATTATTTAGACACTTTGACCTGACCATGTTTTGCTTAAGTGTTTTATCTTTAATTGCTAATGTGAACTTTTTACAACACAGACTGAACAAAATTAAGCATTGCATTGTAATTGGTTGACCTAAATTGGTATTATCTAATTGTGTACTTATTCATTAAATACATTTCAATCAAAATTATCTAACATTATCAAGATGAATTTGTTCTGACACAGTTTAACTCTGAGTTCCTGTCATATTTTATTACCATTTATTTATTCGCTAATCTATAACAAATAAACTGTGATAATGTGAGAAATGTTGAAGGTGTCTGAATAAATTTGGGTTTGACTGTAAATAAAGCAAAAAATTAAGTTTTCAGTTACTGGTGTCATTACAGAAATATGTTATTCAATATTCATTTTTTCCACTAGCAAAATGTTTAAGATAGATAGCATATCATAGAAAAATTTTATTCAACTGATCATGTGATTCAATGGTGGTCCCCATCTACAGCTTTTATTAGACACTATAACTGGCGTCTCATGTGAGTAAACATATGACATGTTAATCTAAATGTACTATTCACATCTTTATGTATAAAAATTTGAATGAGGAAAAACTCGGTTTAAAGCAGCACTATGTAACTTTTGGCGCTCTAGCGGTTAATAAACAGAACTGCACACATCCCGCGGAAGAACATTCCAACCGGAGCTACTTCTCTAAGTTTGCGTCTATGGCGATTCACGCAGGTATGTGTTACTCCGCAGCGGTGACGACCCGACCAGGCTACAATAGTCCAAATATAAGTACTTATTATAAGTGTACCGTAGTGATTCGGAATAAGACAAAAACGCGGTTTGGAAGATGAATTCATGATGTACTCGCTCATTATATACATTTAGCAAATTTTGAACACAGAAAAAGTTACATAGTGCTGCTTTAAATGTGAACAAACAGCCCAACCCTTCACAAGTTTCTCTAGTATTGTGTTCACAGCACTATCTAGTGGTAAGTGTCATAATTGCAAATACGTGATTTTCTATCAAACTAATTGTATGCTCTGTTGAGTAATAATTCTATATTAAACAAATATGAAACGTCTCATTTACATTTAAAATAATAAAATATACCTGGAATGCCCATCTCTTTTCGACACCAGTTGATGAAATTGGTGACATTATCCCGAGCCAGGAATGTTGTTGGATGGGCAGAGCTGACGAAAGTGACTCCAGAAGCGGGCAGATGGACCTCCGTGGGTCCGCTGCTCTTCACAAAATCATCCGCCACGCGTGTCACGTTATTTGCGTGGGCACACAGCAGCGCACCTGTCTCTAACACCTCCAAAACATTATTCACGTCAATCTCCATGCTGTATACATCTCCAAGCCATTCTGCCAGGTCTTCTTTCATGGCATAGAGATATTCCTCACTCGATTTAAAAGGTTTGATGCTTTGATTGGATGCATGCTGAATTCCAGACATGGCTTGGATTGTATCAAATCAATTTAATCGATTCAAATAAACACATCTAGGATGATCCAGTATTGTAAGGGGAAAAGGCACTCGTTAAAATTACGTTAGAAGCCTACTAACTGACAACAAACCAGCATCACTTAATAGTCTACTATTAAGTTTAAAGTGTACGTTTCATCGACTCCAAAGGAAAAAAATATATTTAGCCGTACTAAAATTTAGTGTAAATATAATTTCATGAAATGCCTCCGTTGTGCAGTGTTGTGTTGCAAAGTTTCATCGCTTTTTAATGTGTTGTCAGGGTGTGTGAGCGCAGAATATCGTCCTTGGTTACCAGATAGCGTCTAAATCCAAACACTCCAGTTAACCATTTACTGCCCACAAGTTCAACTACGGTAAACAGAACAATAAACACCAAAGTATTGAGGAATATTATAACCATAAGATAAATATTTTTATAAACTCTACCCAAGTGTTACCATCTTAACTATAGCACAGCGAGATAAAACCGCAAAGGGGTATATATCATAACATTAGGACTATAGGTTAACATTTATATATAAACGTACGATTGTGCGCGTTTTTGGCATATGAGGACACAAATTTGTATAATGACATGGGTATGACATAGCAATTACAAGGAGAAGGTGACTTATGAGGACATTACCCCATGTTCCCATTTTTCAAAACGCTTATAAATCATACAGAGTGATTTTTTTTTTTTTTTTTTGAGAAAGTAAAAATGCACAAGGCTTCCTGCAAGGGGTAGGGTTGGTGTAGTAGGGCAATAGCATATACAGTTTGTACAGTATAAAAACCATTATGCCTATGGAATGTCCCCACAATTCACAAAAACAAATGTGTGTGTGTGTGTGTGAAAAAAACATTCTACAACTCACATCGTATCTACCGCCACTCATAACACACATTTTTTATGTCATTTAAATCGCAAATAAGGTCATAAAGCACGTATTTTAAGATCTATAGAATAATGTTAAAATAGTTTTTAATGAAATATTGCATGTATTTTAAGATCTTGTTCAAATAGTTTTTAATGAAATATCGCATGTCACACTGAAGGATTGCTGCCACTGCCTGAACTACCATGTCAACAACTGAATGCACATAAAAAAAGAAAGACATCATAATAATGCATATTATTAGGGGAAATGTAATAAGGAGAAGGGAGTTAAAAGAGAAAATGTTGTTTCAAGTAAACATAATTTACTTTAATAATATCATGATAGATCTTGGATGTTCAAAGTAAATACAGCTTGTAGCCATTCATATTTATACATTTCACTGAAATGAATTGATCACATTTTTGTTCATCAAATTAAATGGTGCATTAAGTAATTTGAAACATTAAATAATAATTCCTTTTTTTAAAACATATTCCATGATCATTAATGTCTTATTTTAGCATTTTGCAATTGGGAATTAATGCCTCCTTTTAACATAAAGCTATTTTGTTGTGCTGTTAGTTACAAAACTAGCACTAAAAAATTAATTCTTTTTATTTTTCTTCTTCTTTCCTGGATATTCTTGTCTTCTCTTTCTATAATGATGACTACCTCCTCCCTCACTGCGACCGGTAAAGCTGGGCATCGGTGGCTCAATCTCTCCTGGACGTCCCCCCCTGTCTGGCACACTGCCCATCAGTACCTGCAGAAACAAATGTTGTGTACAAATCCATTTTTAAATCTTTTCTTATGCACATTGCAACACTGAATTTAATGCATTCAACCCTGGAGAAAAAAAGTGAATTATAGTAACAAAACTTAGGTGAAGGGCACCTTGTGAACAGCTGTTGAAGGCCCTGCTTTAACAGGCCTAATGCGAGACTCATCCTCTCTGGCCGCCAACAGCGTAGCAATGGAGACAGAGGACTCGAGAGAAGGTGTGAAGGTTTTCATGGAAGAAAGTAAAGCACTGCGTTCCTTGAAAGAAAATAGGGAGAATTTGCTCAGTGAAACATATTACAATACATGCTTGAAGATTTGCAAAAGAGACAATCTTTATACCTTTCCCCTCTCTCCCCAAGTACAGGATTGTAGTGTGACATGGAAACGCTTGATCATCATTTGGCGCCGGCATTCATAATCCTTACAGAGAGCTCTGTTGATGTCATTAATCTTTTTCTAAGAAAAAAAATAAATGTGAAAATATTTGTTCAGGGACAAAGCTCTAAAAAAGGTAAATGTAACTCTGTAATACATAATAGAACAAAAAGACAGCATACTGCTACAATGCTCTCAAACGCTATTTAAATAGTAGACAAACAATGTTTTGGCCCTTTAGGTGTTTGTCAGGTAGTCAAAAAAATTACAACTTGAACATCTTTAGAAGAATCCAAAATGTAGTTGAGTTTTCATCAGAAAAGATTTGGAGAAGTTTGGCATTACATCATTTGCACACCAGTGGATCCTCTGTAGTAAATAGGTGCCGTCAGATTGAGAGCCCAAACAGCTGATAAAAACATCACAATAATCTACAAGTAATCCACACAACTCCAGTCCTTCAATTAATGTCTTCTGAAGCAAAAAAGCTGTGTTTTTGTAATAAACAAACCTATCATTAAGATATTAACTTCAATCCTTTGCTTATGGCTAAAATCGAGTAAAAAAGCCATCTCGTCTGAATCAGAAGAGAAATATGCACAGATCAATTACTATTTACAAGTGAAAACAGTTCTAAACAAATATTTTGGTGGATCTTGATGTAAGAGGACAACAGGGGACTTTTTCACTGTATGAAGTATTATTATGGACTGGTATTTAAACCGGAAGCAATGGTTCAAAATTCAAATGCCTTAATGATTGGTTTATTTCTTACAAACACAGCTTTTCACTTCACAAGATGTTAATTGAAGTGAATTGTGGATTATTGTGATGTTTTTATCAGCGGTTTGGACTCTCATTTTGACGGCACCCATTCACTGCAGACGATCCATTGGTGAGCAAGTGATGTAAGGCTACATTTCTCAAAAACCATTCCAATGAAAAAAACAAAGTCATCTACATCTTGAATGGCCTAAGTGTGAGTAAAGTTTTAGCAAATTTTCACTTTTGGGTGAACTATACATACATATATCTGAGTAGGTATAAACAACAAACAATACAACAAAAATAAATACAAATAATTAATCAATATAAATCAACAATTTCTGGTCATGCTCCTGCTCCAAAGTTTTTTGTTTGTTTGTTTTTTTTTCAGATGTGCACATACCATTTCACTTTAATACATACCCATTGCTCAGAGTTCAGACTGGTCTTCAATAATGCTTCTGGCACTTCACCTTCTGGAAGTGATGTCAGCCGTGTCTCCACCTGAATAAATGACGCATATGCTAGAGATCACCAAAAAATGTAAAATCTCTAGTAATAATTACTAGACATTCACTGGTGATGTTTCTTACCTCTGCACAGGCATCACTCATCTGAGAGGATGTTTCTAAGCCAAGAGTCTGAAACAGTTTTGCAAGATCTTTATTTACTTCTTTCCAATTAGTTTTATCCTCTTGTGCTGGACTGATTTCCTGATGCTCGTCTTTATTGCCCATATTAAGACTTTCCCATTTTCTTTGCTCTTTGCCCTTTGACACACAACTCTGTTCTGTATCTTCTGGATGACTCTCTCTGTATGTCAGCATACGTGCTGTCGCCAACTCTGACACCAAAAACTCTGTCAATTGAAAGGTAATATGTACAGTAGCTCTTCACAGAAAATCCTAAAAATGCACAGATTGAAATCCTCTATCACCTCCCTACCTTACCAGTCACTCTGAACAGCAGAAGTGGGCTAAGGTGCTCTGATGTAAGTGCATTTTGAGGACAGGACATCTCCTTCAGCACTTCCCTCAACTCCCCGACCAGAACTGCACCACCAACATGCCGTGCTGAAGCACAGTTGCATTTTATCCATAATGCAACACAGTGCAAAAAAAAAAAAGGATGGTTGAAGTAAAGTTGTGCAAAATGTTGTCTTATTGGCAGGATTTTTTTTTTTTTTTTGCATTAGGTTTAATTCTAGGCCTGCTGTTAGCACGCAGGCCTAGAATTAAACCTAAATATAAATAATTGTTATTCGATTTCAAATTCTATTAATTCAAAGAATTTATTTATTTAAATTATTATTAATGATTTAAATATGATACATTGAAATCCCTTATTCACTCATAACATATTACTAAAAAAAGAGATGTTAATTCGTTAGTGAATTTAGGAGTGTGTAGGACAGGTCTCGGTTGGGTTACCTGGAATATCAGGACAACTTTCTCTTAGTTCTGAGACCAACCAGGAGAGCAGCGGGCAAGGTAATTCGTCACATTTACATTTCTTCAAGCACTCTCCGCTTTTATACCTATGAAATATTAAAACAGCTGTGAGTGAAATTATCTTGACGTAAACAGAACAACATTTTACATTGTTGTTTATTTCAGCGTTACTCACCCAAGAGCTTTAATTAAACCGATTATACCAGTGTCTCGCTCCATTGTAACAATTACACAGGTTATGTCGTGAGTTCTTCACTTCCTGTTTCACTGTCTATGGCTGTAACAGAAGTCGAGTAAAAGTCACGCTCTGCCGATAACCGAGTGCAAGACAAGATTAATCGATCCCAATTGATCGAAACAATTCAATCGTCCTAATCAGCGAATGCACAGATTCCTTTTGTTCTAAACTAATCAGATAATGCACAAATATTGCACTTTAAGACAGTCACTGATTTTGACGCATTGATCTATCAGTGTCTTGACTGTTTTATCTTTTGCTTGCAAATTAATACCTACTACTAAAATAAAACGTAACTTTAAAGGTAAGTCAATAAAATATACAATAGATACAAGTAGATAAGTAATTACAAATTTAAATATGTGTGACAAAAATGAAATCTTTTTTTATTCTTTTATTGGCATTTATATTCCAGTTTATAATTGAAAAAGTATAGAGTGGATATATGGAGTAATACTAATTATTAATAGTTTTGTTTATTTGGGAAGAAAGTGT